CTCTGTCGGCTTTTCTAGATCAAGATGGTCATATATTCTGAATAACTGGATAAAATAACCATTAATAGACAGTCTGGATCAGGAAATGTACTGCCTTTGCACTTTTTATCTTCCATATAACCTACATGGCATAAACACCCATACATGGTTTCAATCTTTCCAGTAAACTCATGCAGATTTGCTCTGAAAGCCAATAAGAGTTTGTTATTAGTACTTAAAACTAAATCTCAGCATTATAATACTTCCATTTTGAGTTTGATGGAATCTTGAATAACATTTTCTTGATATCATCTTTATATTCACCCATGGGTAGGCAACTGATTGCCATGTGGTCTGTATGAGTTTTTGTAATATTTTTTACCTTAGAAGTAGTACCTCTAATACTCAGCAGCAGAGCCCAAGAAACAGAGGTGCAATTTCCTATTGTTTGAATGGAAAATAGTGTGTGTTTTTTAAAAAAAGATGTGTTTAAATAATATTAAAAAGCACTCAAATGTAAATGAAAAGATCTGCTTCCCAACTGATAAAAGATAGTCCATGTCTACCATCGCATTCCAATAGGTAACGTAGTATAATCATTTTTCTCTATCGTATCAACCTGAATGTGGATATGTGGTCTTCTAGATGTAGTTAAATTGGAACTCCCAAAAGTCTCAGCTAATATATCCAATGAAAATGGGACCTGGATCTGATTCACCAGCACTGGAAGGCCTACAAGTTCTCCACTGCCTGTCCTCTTGCATTCAAAAACAGTTTCATCTTGCCTGCAGCAACATTCTTTGGGACGGTTATGCTGGTAGTCACAACAATATCTGTTACAGCATAAATAAAAAAGTTATTTTGTGGTGTATGAAGGTTACCCTTGAGTCCAAAGAGACTTGAGAAAGACTGGTTCTGATTCCAGCTGGACAAGAATTTGCTGCTGCTATTCACCTTTTATATATGCGAAAGGAATCGAAACAAATATTCCTGCTTCAGAATTTGTGAAGAAATGTTTTATTTTTTTCTTCAGGAAGAAATGAACTGTGTTCTGTGTTCATAATGCCACTTTTGCAATCTGTAAAACATAAAAAGACTTTAGCTATGATTTACACTCCCTCCCTCAATACAAGTTTCTACATCAAGAACATGGTTGAATAAATGTTTTAAGTTGGCTCCTTAGGACTGTTAATTCTCTGCCTGGGAATAAGGTTAATTTATGAATTACTAGATTTCTACAAAATTGTAACAGTGTAACTTTAACCATCTTTATTATTAATATTTTTAATTAATGGTACTGCCTTCACACTATATATTCTTTAGCGCACACTTTTTTTATTTGTTTATATAATATTGGCTGGCTGGATTGGTCTGTCTGTTTGTCTGTCTGTCGATGGATAGTTAGAGATAGATAGATTTTCTTTCTTTCATCTATCACCTATCTATCTGATAAAAGATAGATGATGAAAGAAAGAAAAAAAAAGAAAAAAGGTATCGATGCTTGATGGAGTGAAATATATCAAGCCTGCCACAGATAGAACATAAATAATTGAAATAAATAAAACTACATATAATGTGAGAGTTAACTGCCTGTGTATACATAGACCATAATTTAAATAATTTACATTTCACATACCTTTCTGAAAACAAAATCTTGTGCTTTATCAGAGACGTCATAAACTATTATTTTGTTGGAAATCATTAAACTTTATCCTGTAGTCTTCTAAAATAACAAAGTGACTCTATGAACTCTTAGCAAGTCCTAATGAATAGTGGGACATACTTCTAAGTAGATTTACTTAACTTAAAAGTTGGATATTGACATTAGAGGCATTGAAGAAATGTCATAATTATTTTTAAAGCAATGTATATGTATTGTGCATTAATATATTCTACCTCAGATGAAGTTTGATAGGAATAATTGGGCATATTATGGGTCATCTTTAAATTAGGAGGTCCTCTGCAAACTTCACAGATCTCTAGTGTCCTCTTTTATAACTCAGTTTTATTATTTTATATCATAACTATTGTGAATCCTAACAAAAACAGAAGGCTTTAGAATATGCAACTTTTTTGAACATTAATAATAAAAGCAATGCTGTTGTTTAAATTCAGTTTTCTTATGCTTAGAACAGAATCTTGCCAGCTAGACATGGGGAATCAAATCCAATGCCTGTTAGAATTACAGTTCCCTTACTATCGGCCATTCTGGATGAAGTCTCTAGGAATTATAGATCAAAACATCTGACAGATCCCACATGACATGTCACCAAACTAAGTCAGTAAGACCAACAGTAAAGCTTGTTCACTGTTCTAATGAACCCAAGGATTCTATTCACATTTTTCCCCTCCATTCTAGGCATTTCAGTCTGGTTTCTGCAATGTTTCTTTTTTCCTATTAATTTCTCTCTTTCTTCCCCGGTTGATAAAGCTAGGATAGACTTGACAATCAGGTTGATATTGCTCCAGCATTATCCACCAGTAGGATGCGTGCATCACAAAAAGTCAAGACTTTATTACACTGTAATTTTGGAAATAAAATTAAAAATTTGCATTAAAATAAAGGTCAGGATGGCAACCTCCAATTGAACCTCTCTCCTTTTTTTTTTTTTACAAGTGTTACCATGTAAAAAAGACAGAGCTTTGATAGCATGATCAAGGTTACCATTCTGACTTTACTGAACTCCCTGTAGTGGTCATTGTTTATCTGTTTGCTTAAAAAAATGATAGGCCAAACCTATGCTGTATAATTCTTGGACTCTCCCAAACTTCTACAACCCAAGTGAATCCATACTTTCAAGGAGTTTATGTCAATGAACATTGTAATGAGCGAGCAAAAAGGCTAATTATCTACAAAGTAAGGTTCTAAGGTTCAAAGTTAAAAAGTGTTTTTTGTGAAAAAAATTTTTTTTAAAAGTATTCACTGTTCATTTCCAAAGATCAAGAACAAAATGAACATAAAGTGTTCGTTTTCATTATAAGAGGATTTCCTTTTGAACTTGAATAAGTTCCCATTTCAAGAAGGAAAAGGCTGGGAGACTGAACTTATATCACAATAAAAAGTCTGAAGATGAGGAGACACAAAAGTCAATCAGCTAGTAGACATGCTTAGTGTAAGAGCTTTGTGTTGCTTTTGGGGGATTCTATAAACTACCAAATTATAGGTACAGTTGGATTCCACCCTCTTGCACACAAAAAAAATTGTAGCTGGTCTTAATTAACTTGATCTTCCCACATATATTTTTGTCATTTGTTCTTGGAGCTACTTTATTATTGCATTTATTTTGACAACCAAATGCAGAATGTGCCAGCTTAATGACACCTATAGGATCTAGTTTCTAGAATACCAATATAAAACTACATGGTTAATATCTAAATTGAATTTGTAGTAGACAATCAACTAGACAGCCTAATTTTTTTTAAAAAAAACTGCTCTTTTTGCAAAATGATATAGCATGGTTTTAGTATGTTGCTTTTGAAATAGCAGTGGAAAACACATCCAGTGCATGATCTAGAATAAGTGTGCTATTTTATTAAATATGTTTGTGAGCAAATGTAAATTCTTATATTGTAATCATGCATTTTTGGTTCATTGCAGTTTGTAAAGAATGTATATAAAATGTTTAATTCTAAACAAAACTTGTTTTGATAACTCCTATTAGCAGCAGTTAAAAATTCAAAAGCTTTACAAATGATGGCACACTGAGAATGTACATGGGATATTTTCTGCTTGTAGCCCACACACAACTGGAAATCTTCACTATTTCTTGCTCTCTTTTTTTGTAAGAATTGTTATTTTCATAAGAACAGTATCACAGATAAAATTGTGGGCGGTCTGCATTTAATATTTTGTTTGATCTAATGGTTATTCAATTGCTATGTAATTGCAATGTTTATTATGATAATCCCAGTGTATGTATTTATCAAAAATGCTTTATTTTTTGAAAATGAAAAGAACTGTTGAAGGAAGTCAATCATAAATATTCTAATTTTTAAATAGTTGTTGGGTGGTACCGCCTTAATTTTTTCCCTTCCAAATTTATGTACTCCAGATCCATCCAACTGCCAAATTCTGAGTGCAATTTAGAAAGACAAAACATTTGTTCAAAAGCCATGCAGGGAGAAATTAATCAGCCTAATTTGGGACAGAAAACTGTCATACAAATTATCTTTTACTCTTTTTCTTTTAAAATGCTTCACTGGATGAACTATCAGACATAAGATTTTAGTATAACTGAAGGGATGATAATACAAATCTAAAATCATGCAGTAGTGCAGTATGAATAAATGCTTCCTTGATCAATTCAAAATTGACTTGGTCTGGTTGGGCAGACTGGGTGATTTTCAGATTCTCAAAAATAGCTTTGTGTTGTTTTTCCAGTAGAATGAAATAGAGTGTCCTTCAAGCTCAACTTGACTTTTGATGATCCATGTTGCTGGGGGGGGGGGGGGAGAGTTGACAGGAATACCAAAGTAGCTTGTGTCTTCTTCCAGATTCTTTTTATTATTTTCTGTATATAGCTGCTCAAATCACTCCCAAATCCCAACTATGGAGAATAGCAAGATTTCCCAAATTCATGATTCTAGATTTTTTTCTGTGAACCCCAAATACTGCTTCACTGAGTATGGAGTCATCTTGGAACTACTGAAAGGATTGTGTTGTAGACTGGAGACAGATGATGTTGTATCCCTCCTCCTCTGTTGAGAGAGGGTTGTTCAGTTGACATAGTTGGTCAAAATTGAAGAGTCTTCTGTCAACAGAGAGGGAGGGATACAACATCATCTATCTCCAGTCTACAACACAGTCCTTTCAGCAGTTTCAACAAGGCTCCACACCCATTTGCATTATTCAGGTGACCCTGACGACACAGATAAACCTCCAGGTGGCCTCAATGACTCTCTAAAAGAATGCAAATGACCAGCTTTCTGCAAGGAGCATAAATCCTTCCATTCCCCACCATCCAGTCAGAGCTGAAGAAGCTTCTTAGATGTGAAGCGAAATGTCTTCAAAGAAAAACAAGAAAGTCCAATTGCCTCATGAAAAAGCACCTTTGGGATAACTATGACCTAGATGACCGAAAATCTCCATAGACATATAAAATATGTTAATACATAAAAATAAACCAAAAGTTTATTATTCTAATGTACTTCAAAGGTATTGCCAGGATAAATTCAGCATTAAAGTCCGAATCACATTTGGTTGTGTATTGCAGTTAATGGCACAGGAGGCAATTCCATTATACATAAAGCTTTTCATAGCTCATTTTCCAGATGGAGGGATTTCAGACAAACATTTCCAATGTGACTGATAATTACAGGTCATGCCATTTACAGATGAGGTTTCTCCTTTCCAGTGAACGAAGTTTGTGTATTAAGTATGAACTTAATCCTAGAAACCATATTAAAAAGAGAATTAGCTTGTCTCAACATAAAATAAATAAATAATTTTAAAGAGTTTTATATATATATATACACACACATTTCTTTATATACATTTATGTATATGAAATACTAACAGATTCTTTACTGTTCCTTTGTACTTTTTGCTAACTATCTGTATTATGACAAAAGCCATAGTGATACTAATATTTATAGATGCTATTTTAATTCCACTGAAATGGAATATTTTAATATCCCTTGTTAAAATTGGATTCCAGATATTGTAAGTTGTATGGAAGAACATACAGTTTTTCAAGCTCTTCTCGTTCCTCCTTTAAGTCTGTCCACAGCCATTTGTGTCATCTCTGCCTTAATCTATTTTCAATTGCTTATTCTTTACTTGCTTTCCACAGCAATCTGAATTGATAATGTTTTCTTACCTTTCTTTTTCCTTCAGCATTGTGTCTATCCAGATAAGCTTGAATGCCTGAACCGTAATCAGGATGAACATCAGTAAAGTTTTTCACCTAAATTGGCAAAGGAAATTGAGGTCATTTGTCTCTTTTGCTAATTCCTGTACTGATGAGGACAAGTCAATTTCTATTGGCACAGAGATCTGAAATTTCAACACACCAGGAGTGTATTTACTTCAATTATACTCATATGGCAAATGTACTATTTTTCCTCTGAAAAGCTGAAACATATTTTTACAAGAAAAATACTACTTATCTTTCCATTTATATCTAACCAAGTGGCATAGGTATAGATATAAGCATAGGCATAGGCTATTCCCATATGGAATGGAATGGAATGGAATGGAATAGAATAGAATAGAATAGAATAGAATAGAATAGAATAGAATAGAATAGAATAGAATAGAATAGAATAGAATAGAATAGAATAGAATAGGATTTATTTGACCAGTGTGATTTGGCACACAGGGAATTTGTCTCTCGTGCAGAGGTTCTCGGTGTACATGCAAAGCAACAGAATAATAATAATCAAAATAATAATACAATAAGAGGAGTTGTAAAGAAGATAATAAGGAAAATAATACTGCAGTCATACTACATGGATTATATACATAGACTTGTAAATAGTAAACATATCTACATCTAATTTTAAAATGCTTTATCATAAACGGTTTATTTTTCTACCCCTAGTGAAATATATTCAACACTAAAGTTAATCTGGACTGGAAGCTGACAATTTACATTTTTATTAATTTTCAAATTAAAATGTTGAAAAGACTCCAATAGAACAATTATAAGGATTATTCAGAAGAAAACTTAATTGTGCACAGTGCACCTTAAGAAGGATGAATCTTAGAACTGCAGTCCAAATCAACTACTACTGAAGCTATCCAGAAAGATATCATGGTCAGTGGTATCAAAGGTTGGCAAGAGGTCAAATAGAGCAAGACAGATGCACTACCCCTATCCCGTTCCCACCAGAGATCATTAAAAAGTGACCAATCCTGTTTCTGTCCCATATTCAGGCCTGAACCTGACTTGGAAGGGTCTAGATCAGGAGTCCCAATCCCTGTTCAGAACTGTGCAGTGCAAGCAGTGCACAAGCATGCACAGCTCCATTTGTGTGAGTGGCGGGCACCGGCACCTGCCATTTGCTCAAAAGGAGCTGCGCACATAAGCATGTGTGCCCGCTGTTTCTGCGGAACCATCCTCTCCCCCCCCCCGCTAGTCCACAAAGCCAGAAAGTTTGGAGACCCCTGATCTAGATAATCCATTTCATCCAGGAAACTTTGGAGCTGCTCAGCCTCCTTTCCTGAAAAGGGAACATTGGAGACAGGTTGGAAATTGTCTAACAGAGTGGAAACTAGTGATGGTTTCTTAAGAAAAGGGCAGACCACAGCCTCCTTAAAATGCTGGGACAACCTCCTCCCACAGGAAAGCATTAATCACCACCAGAATCCACCTTCAGATCAACTTCTGAGAAGCTTTCGCAAGCCAGGAGGAGCATGGATCTAAAATACAGATACTTGCGTTCATATTGCGTAGAATCTTGTGCATGTCCTCAGGAGCAACAGGATTAAACTGTTCCCAAGTAACTGGCAATAACCTGCCCCAGGTGTCCCTACCAGACCAGCAACCATGCCAACATCTAACCAGGAATAAAGCCAAACAAGTTTGTCTTCCAAAAATCAGCAAATTCCTCAGCAAACCCCTTCCTCTTTCCTCAGGATGAGATGGCTCATCTTAAAGAGGGTCGCTGTCAGATTGTCTGCAGTTCACTGATCTTTACAGTTTGATATCACCAAGCATAAGACTCAGTACCACAAATCTTTCTAGGAAAAAGAAACTGGCAAATCAGAATCATTCTCTGGGCTACCCATGGATTGCCTGACCCATCACATAATAAGACTTAAGTGGAAGAAGCATACTGAATTTTATAAAAATCAACATGATTTTTTTTAGCAACATGCTTTCCAAATATTTTTTAAAATGTCAACAGTTATGGTTTGGATTTTTTTTCCCTTCGGGAACACACTATATCTAACAGAGCACAAGAAATATCTATACTTAAAACAAAACAAACTCAACAATCATCCGTATTTAAAGAAATACAATACTGCAGAGCATGCATATATCCATAATCCATAACACTAAATTGAAAAGAGAGATTTAGTTATATGTTACATATAGTTATAATTAACTAATACTATACACACACAAAACACATGTGTGTGTGTGTGTGCATGTGTGTGTGGAGAGAGAGAGAGAGAGAGAGAGTGAGAGAGAGAGACAGAGACAGAGACAGAGAGACAGAGAGAGACAGAGACAGAGTGAGAGAGAGGCAGAGGGACAGAGAGAGTGAGAGAGTGAGTGAGTGAGTGAGTGAGTGAGTGAAAGAGAGTGAGTGTCCTTGACTTACAACCACAATAGCAGGACCAGAAAATTCATCATTAAATAGTGTAGATGTTAATTGGCTCATCATCTGATTGCACCCAATTTTGCCATGGTTGTTCAGCAAATCATCCATGGTCATTAAAACAAGACATCACACAACCATGACTTGTGACCTCCTGCCAGCTTCTTTGCTGATTCCATTTGTCAGAAGACCTCTGAGAAGATTGCAAATGTGATCACATGACTGTAGGACTGCCAAGGTCCCAGATCATGGTCATGGGATTTCAGGGATGTTGAGATGTTATAAATCTGAAGACAGGTCATAGGTCATTTTTTGCTGCACTGTATAACTTTGAACAATAATTAAATGAATGGTCATTAAGCGAGGACTATCAAAAGCATCTTTATCCAGAATTGTATGCCAGCAGATGTGTAAGATCAAGAAAAGACATAGCTGCTTTAAGGGGTTATCAACAGATGATATCTGTGTACCCTGCACGCCTCAAATCCAATTTTGCCTCTTCAATTGAAATCTCTGTACAACCTTGTGTTGTATTACATTGTTACTTACAGCTCTGTTCTGGATGAAAAGCTGAGCATCCTTAAGATGGTTGGCAATGTTTTCACAAAGTCTCATGCGCTGTTCCTCATTCAGTACTTTGACAAAGAAGTCCCGTACCTTAATAAATTGTAAAAGCAAATGTTATACATATACCTTCTGCCACCTAATAAAAACTTTCTACAATTCCAATTTCATTAACAGTATCAATCCCAGCTATTAAATACATGGGAATAAACTGATGGCTATTCACCAGTATCATGGAATTCTCTTCGCTGTTTAGAATGTGAAAAGTTCTGCCTTCTTTGAACCACCCTCAAATGCTATAAATAATGCACTGACAATTGACTGCCTCTTTAGCCAAAGCAACTCTCAGGACTACATCTGTATCAAGCAGCTTAACCTTCTACATCTTCAAATATTCCCTAATTTGCCTTGAAGACATTACTGGCAGAACAAATAATAACCAATGTACAATTGGTCACTTAACAATCTTTTGAAATTATATCAGGAGCAGAACAGGTGCTTTGAGCTATCAGGAAATGCCATACCACATCTCCACCATGATCACAGGACTGCATTTTAGGTTCTTAGCAACCATCTTGCCTTTATGACTTGTCACAGCATCTCACAGTTCTGATTTGTGACAGTGTTTGCTGGTTACTGGCAAAAAACACTCATTTTTTAAAAAAATGGGTTCACTTAGTAGCTGTGGATTCATTTAATGACCATAGTGATTTGCTTAATAACTGCGACAAAAAATGTTGTAAAATTGGGACCTATTCATGAGAGTGCCTTGACTTACGACTATAAATCCAGTCCCAATTGTGTTCTTAAGTCCAGAACTACTTCTAAATATGTTTTATAAAGGAGGAGGGGTGGACATTTTTGAATGATCTGCAGTATAGAGGCCTGGCACATTATAGTAATTTTGGTCAAACCAGGAAAATAGCTTACTGGACTGACATCAAGAGACCCAATAATCTCACTTTTATACATGGATCCACCTGTGGAGAAAATCGAGTAACAAAAGGCGAGAGCAAGCAGGAAACCAAAACTTAATTACTTGAGGATAGAATTATATCAAGCAAGGGCTCCCAACTTTTTGTTTTAAATTAGGTGCTTGGATGACGTACAAAGAGAATATTGATAATACATTTACCTTCTAACAAAGAGAGAAAGAAAAACTGTGCTTACAGAGACATTTCCAAAATAAAACACAGGTAGTCCTCAATTTACGACCGCAACTGAGCCCAAAATTTATCATGCTAAGTGAGATGGTTGTTAAGTAGGTTTTGCCCTCTTTTTAGGACCTTTCTTGCCATATTTGCTAAATGAATCACTGCAGTTGTTAAGTTAGGAACAAAGTTGTTAAGTGAATCTGGCTTCCCCATTGACTTTGCTGATCAGAAGCTCGCAAAAGTTGATCATATGACCCGGGGACACTGCAGCCATCATAAATATGAACCAGTTGCCAAGCATCCAAATGTTGATTGTACATGATTATGGTATTCTGCAACAGTCATAAATATGCAAAAGGTCATAAGTCACTTTTTTCAATGCCGTTGTAACTTTGAATGGTCACTAAATGAACAGTTGTAAGTTGAAGACCACCTGTAACAGGGCATTTCTAGCTTATTTACTTGAGAGACGTTATCCTCAACTGAACTATTAAAACGTTGTACATCTCCTGAGATAAATACACAGCTCTGCTTCAAAGTGGGCTGTTCCTCAGGTCCACTAAAACTATTTGGGTAATAGTTTGGAGCACCACCTAAGGAAAAAAAAATACAATATATTAGAAGCAGGATAGAAGCAGCAAAGAATGCAGGAGCATTAGCTCTGCAAGCACATCACAATGTCTTACAGCCAAAAATTTGTTAATGACATTTCTACAATCCCTTTTCAGAGAACTGGATTCCTTCAGACTAAGGCTATTCTTAGCTGCTTCCAATTCCCAAAACAAACCAACAAAAAACTATTTAGGGCTTTGACTCTCTGTTTCTGTAATTATCTTGATAATGTAAAGAAAAAAAAGCTTGAAGGTAAAATTACTGCACATATATTTGAAATGTTAATTGACTCACAACCATATTGTAATGGCTAATGAAAACATTGTAATATTGTGGATCTATTAATTTGCTTCAGTAGTAATAAAAATAATGAATTCATTTATTATGCTAACTTTTGGCTTGTTTTAGAATCATTTGAGGGGTAAATATCAACGGATGTGTCAAATAAATGCTAATGAATGGATGGATGGAAGGATGAAAGAGAGAGAGAGAGAGAAGAGAGAGAGAGAGAGGGAGAGACCCATCTATTTGTGGTCATGCTCTACCAACCCTGGACTCTAACCCACCAAAAGCTTTTTTGTCATGTAATTTTTGAATTCTTGCATGAGATCCCATTCTTGTATTTCTAGGATAAGCCTGACATTTCAGAAGTTTCTTTTTAAAATGTTACTGCTTTAGTAGGCAGTCCTCAACTTACCACTGGTTGTTTAACAATCATTCGAAGTTACAATGACCTTGGAAATGATGTTTTACAGCCTACAAAGACTTCCAGCCACTGAAAAATGTGCTGTTCCCCCTTCCCCACCCATTATCTCGATCTGGGTGCTTGGCAACCTGTTTACCCTAACAAACAATTGCCAAGCCCTCTGCAATCATTGGATCACCACTTGTAATTCTCTCTGTTGGCTTCCCCAGAAGGTCAATGGGGAAACCGGTAGGAAAGGTTGCAAACTGCTGCCTTCGGACTCCCTTCGGCAGAGTGCAGTTCATATAATATGCTTAACCAAACTATCTACATTGTAATGTACTTCAGAAATCTCTAACCTTCTTGAAAATAGATATATTTGAATTTTTGAAAGCATAACAAAAATTTGTTAAGTATGATCGTAAAACATGTTTCAAGAGCCTATATAAAGTGTAAAAGCAGTGCTGAAAAAAAGAACCATGTTTTCTTTGCAGCATACTAGCTTTCCATTGTCTGTTATTTGTGTGTACATAAAATAAATATATGTGTTATGACCCAGATAGTCAAGGCAAGGAAGGCCTCTAGAGTCCTTTATTTTGCTCAACAAATGTTCCAGCAAATGGCTCTCCAACAACCAGTAAGGCCACCTTGGAGGCAGCCACCCTCAGTCCCTCAAACAACAGGCTCTATAGTAAAAATAAAGCCCACAGAGTAGGAGCACGCTCACAGGGCAAGGTCCAAAGTTCCAAGTCCAGTCCACAAGGAAGAGTCCAGGCACAAGACAATGACAGTCCCAGGGCAAAGAAAAGGTCCAAGGCAAGAAGCAGTTCCAAAGCCCAGTGAAGCAAAGGCCAAAGCAGTCCACAAGAGAAGGGCTAGGACCAAGACAAAAAGGCAAAGAGCAATGTTCCAAGCAAGGCAAGGCAAACCGCAACATGAGGTATGAGTCGAAGCCAGGGTAGTGTGAGGCAAAGCAAACAATTGTTTCTGGCAAAGACTAACTCCCCATGGTTTCTCCTCAAGTTACTCCCCTCCAGGTGTTCCTTGCAAGGAGGGGTAAGACAACCTCCTCCTGAGTAGTCTTGCAGCCCTTCTCTGGGCTTGCTACGCTCCACTCTCCTTGCCCTTGGATTAAATAGAGGAGGCAGCTGTTCCTCATCAGAGGAGAACTGCTGCCTATCAGCACCACTGCCGGTCAGCAGCCGATCCTCCCCTGTGTCTGTGCAAGCAGATAGCTGTCCATCTGGTTGACCACCTCCCCCAGTGCCTTAGGGGGCCAGGACAGGAGAAGTGCCATCCCTGTCGGAAAGTCCCAGTTCCAACTCCTCCTCCTTTGAACTGGGCTCTGATGGGGCCATGACAGTACGTTAGACACAAAGTTAAGCTGTGGTATCAATGTAAGTGAAGAAAAAGCAGTTGCAAAGATTGCTCTAAATTACTGGCATAGCCTAGCTTCCAAATGTTATTTTCAGATTTACCCTGGTTATCAGAAATGCACATAAGTCCATCTCTCTGGTAATTGGCCACCCTAGTTTGGTATGGACAATTTACAGGAATCTGAAGGTAGTTGGGTCCCAGACGGTGTCCATGGGTATCTCGATATGAGAAAAGACGACCCTAGAAAAATATATCACAGAGGTAAAAGTGAGGAAGCAGACAGTTTTTACCCAGGTTTTTCTCATCACTGCCTGTATCAACACTGCTTTTGAAAAACTATTGCTGGTCTTACTCTACAGCAGTGTTTCCCAAACTTGACAATTTTAAGGCATGAGGACTTCAACTCCCAGAATTCCACAGCGTTGCTGGCTGTGGAATTCTGGGAGTTGAAGTCCACATGCCTTAAAATTGTCAAGTTTGGGAAACACTGCTCTACAGGAAGGAAAAATCTTGATTTCAGAGGACCCCAAAACATGACCAATTAGCAAAACCTGTAGATTCAGATCAAAGGTATCTATTTAATATAGCGGAAATTAGAAGGATGTCTTTGATGTTTTCTTTAGTATCCCTCAGACTCTTTCTTTTCTTTAAGTACTTTATAATCTAAATCCTTTAATTATTGAAGAAATTAAATCTACAATCTTTCATCTCATTAACTATATCTTATGCTGACCAAACAACTTCCTTGTGTCAAGCTCTGCTAATGCTTAAGGTGCAAATAATGAATGGCGTTCTTTTTACCAATTGCTTTTATATTCAGAGGTGGGAACAAAAATCCCAACACACCACAAAATGAAAAGCATGGGATAAGGAACAAAACTTCTAATACCAAACAGATTGAGGTTAACCATGTTTTCATTTATGTAAAAATGACCTTATTGAGAAACTGAGTTCCTAGTCTCGCAATTAAATGAAGGGGGGGGGTCTATTCTGGTTACCTGTAACATTTTATCAGGGCTAGGTTCAATCCCTGGAGGCATGTTGCTTGGATCCAAGGCCAATTGTTCCACTTCAGAAAAATAATTGACGGGATTTTGGTTTAAGACAATTTTTCCCACAGGAATGAGAGGATAATCTTTGTGAGGCCAAACCTAGAAAAAATGACCAAGATGTTTTATTATATCTAGCTTGGGCTTGCACAATATAGAAATGTATTTTTTTCTACTCTGTGCTGTATACAGGAGAAAAGGTCACAAAAAATACTCACCTTTGTTACATCAAAAGGATTAAATGGAAAACATTCAGCTTGCTCAAATGTCATAACTTGAATATAGAAAGTCCAAGAGGGGAAATTTCCATTAGCAATTGCATTGTAAAGATCACGCAGGCCATAATCCGGATCTTTGGAAGCCAATCTTTCTGCATCTTTGACAGAAAGGTTTTTAATTCCTTGATCAGTCTAAAAATATTGAAGTGCAATGTTAATTAGTAATTTGCTAGCAAAAATTAGTAAACTTAATTATAAATCTATGTCCAAAGATATATTGTGAACTTATGTGTACAGTACTATGCGTGGAAGGAGTAAAATTAGCTACCAACAATTACTAAATGTAGAAATATTTATTCTTAATACACGCCTCAACCCATTAGGTCATTACAAGCAATGTGGCGGCATAGTGGTGAAGACTCTCGCCTACCACTCAGAAGGTTGAGAGTTCAATCCTAGGTAATGGCAGATGTCTCTCTCTTTAGGGCGTAAAGAAAAAATGTCTGCTGCCAACTCCATGTAGGAGTCAGGAAGGGCAGTAAAAGCTCAGCTCCATCCATTCATCCCGATCAGTAACAGCAATCTGCATTAAAACAGACTTCGGTTTAAAAACGAAAATGTGCTGTAAGAGAATGTTTATAAAGCTGCTATACAAGAAACAAATCTAGGTCCAAGGATATATTGTGAAATTATATGTAGGAAAAACAGTATTATGGGTGGAAAGGGTAAAATTTTCCAATGTTAGAAAAATAGAAGATTTTTGCTAAAAATAATATTGTTATTATTTAAAAATAGGAATGGATATGAATGCAATTGGCTTTGCCTAGCAATTAAGTGCATGGCTGATAAAAATTGAAAGAAATAAGTTACATGGAATCATAAGGAGAAGTCAGGGACACACTTTTGATGGCTCAACATTGAAGAGAAAATAGTAACAGTAGGCCATATTTACCTTTACATGAAATTTGCAGTATACTGCATTGTCGTAAGCATTGACTAGCTTAAAAGTATGTGACCCATAGCCATTCATGTGACGGTGCCCATCTGGAATGCCACGATCGCTGAACAGGATTGATACCTACATGAGCCGAAACAAAGTACATAGCCATCTTTCATGAGAACACAGAGGCCAGATTCCATTGAACAGCTATCTCTTCCTGCATAAACTGTGTATTCCAGTTGTATTCTATACTTCATGCATATTCCCATCCAGCCCTACCCAATATCTAGAATGTCATATTGCAGTTTCATGACATTCATTCGAGAAACAAGAATAATTAATGCTCCTTGCAGAGAATGCCTCGTTTTCTTTTAGCATATTCAGAGAAAAAACAGTGTCTGCATCAGTTAGCAACACATTAAGGCAGTGGTTCTCAACCTTTTTAATACCACGACCCCCCAACCGGTTGTAAGTCGAGGACTACTCAACCGGTCGTAAGTCGAGGACTACTCAACTGGTGCAGCACCGTTTGCAGAATGGGACTTTTGGCGGGCTCAGCAGGGCAGAGACAGCCTGGACAATTCCTATTGGCTTTTGAAAGCCAATAGAATTAGACTCTATTCAAGAGAGTCTATTCTATTGGCTTTCAAAAGCCAATAGAATAAAAGGGAGTAGCACAGCTAAGGAAAAGGGGGGAAAAATGGCAGACTGCGTTGTTTGGCGACCCCCGTGAAATGGTCATTCGACCCCAAATGGGGTTCCGACCCACAGGTTGAGAACCACTGCATTAAGGGAAGAAACAATCATGTACTCCATTAAGTAAAAGTTACACAAAGGACGCAATGTGGGGTAGTGATTAAGTCACCAGGTTAGAAACTAGGAGAATGTGAGTTCTAGCCCTGCCTTAGGCACAGAGCTAGCTGGGTAACCCTGGGCCAGGCACTGTTTCTCACCCCTAGGATGCAGGCAATGGCAAACAAGGGCTATTGTTGTGGGGAAAATAGAAGGGAGGGGTATTTGGTATGTTTGCCATCTTGGGGAATTTATAAAAATAATAAAGGCGGGATTTTAAAAATACAATAAATATAAAAGATGATCCTCACTCTTGAGGAGTATTCAAATGAAAGCTTTTTGTAGAAATCAATTGCAGATATGCCACTTCACTGAAGGTATCTATGGAATAACCATTCAGAACAAGACCAGCAGTGTTTTTAATATTACCTGTTACTCACTTTTTTTTTTCTTAAAACAAACCATCATTTTAATTTCTATAATTACTGATTTTAAACATTGCTGGTTTTACTGTGATAGTTTTATTTGATGTATTTGTACTGCCTTTGTATTTATACTTTTCTTTTGGTAAATTGTAGGAGAAGCAGCTACACAATAAATAAGTAATATATCTACTACTGAAGCACAGTTTCTAAGGAACATCTCTGGACTGTGTGCAACAAATGATTAAACTTAATTTAGGAATTAATCAAATAAAAGTATCTCCAATATCTTCCTATTAAATCTAATGATGTCTCAGAACATCCCAAAAATTTTTCCAGCCTGGAAATAAAAGAATTGGAGTTGCCTGTGTGACGTTCAATATTTCAAATACTAACTTGTGTTACTAAGCATTTATTACTGCAGTCCTGCATTCTAACACTGTGTGGTGATGCAATGGTTAGAATACAGTACTGCAGGCTAACTTTGCCTACAGCCAGGAGTTCAATCCTGAGTAGCTCAAGGTTGACTCAGTCTTCCATCTTTCCAGGGTTGGTAAAATGAGGACCCAGATTGTTGGGACAATATGCTGGCATTTATAAACTGCGCAGAGAGTGCTGTAAAGCACTATGGAGTGGTATATAAGGCTGAGTGCTATTGCTATTCTACTACAAATCCCCATGATTAAACATTCTAACTACAACCATATAATGGTAACACAGATTCTGCAAATCTTTCCATGGGGATATTTTGTAGTTTCTTATATGTTTAAGCAAGCTTTGAAATCAGTCTTGACTTTTTCTTTTAAAAAAAAATCTTAAACTGGGCTAGCTTTATTTATTAAAAAAAATCTTTCTAGCTGCTTTTTTATATTATGAAATTTTTATTGATTTTGCAAATACAAAGTAGCAACAGACAAATAAAAAACAAGTGTTCTGCACCATAATTTATGGTTTTTATACACACTGTATGCACACGTTCATATTTCTACTGGCAAAGACAAACCCATGAATTTCAAGAAATTCTAGATACTACCCTATCTTTCTTTCCTTCCCTTCATGTTTGCAAGAGTGCAACTAGAACAGAAATGGCTGAGTGCAGCTTTTTGGCTTTTATCTAAAAAAATGAAGATGCCATGGAAACTAAACCCAATTCTCTTCTCTCTTGATAACTTTTTTTTTATGATGAGAAATGTAATTTAATATAGCAGCATAACAAGAATCAAGTCTTTAATTTGTATCTTTGATCTCTGCCATTTTCTATGAGCTAAAGATGACGAACAGAGGGCTTAAATGAAACAGGCTAAAAGGAGTTAAAATCTTACCTGGTGTAGAGACTCAGGGCGAAGACTCCAGAAGTCCCATGCCATGTTTGGATCTTTCAGATGTGTCTGTGGATTCCTCTTTTGGGTATGGATAAAAGATGGAAACTAACAGAATACAAAAACAAAGAATTAAACTCTTATGAAAATATTAATTAAAATGAAGCTTGGCCCTAACAAGATAAACACTACTGAATTATACCACCTCATTAAGCATTTTGAAGAATCACATTTATAATTTGAGAATACTACTGAGCCAGCACAAAGTAGTTTAACAATAGACAATTTTCTATTTTGGCTGACTTTAAAGACCATCTGGAAGCTTTAAACCCCTGTAAAATTCTGGTTATAAAAAAGAGTTAATAATTATTTTTCTGGATACAATTGCAAGTGACAATGTTATCATATAACATATAACAACTTAAGTAATTTGAATGCAGGTTCAATAATGGCATATTTTTCCCCATTTTACCTCGGATATTCAAGATGGGCAAACTGAAATTCCTATTATTTATTTAGCGTATGGCATATCATACATGAACTAGCAATATATATTAACATTTCAACTAGATTAGTAGAACCCAATAAAATATAAATGTTAAAAAGATCTATGTTCAAACATCAATGTCTAGGCCACCTAACCATTGAAGTGCAATGTTGTTTATATTTAAAAAAACAATACTGGACTGGTAGATGCCCTCAGCTTATAGCCAATCACAATATGATCTACAGTTTGACGTGGGACCCCACAGTCATACTAAAGAGAGGATGCTATGCAGTGATGGGATTCAACCAGTTCTCACCAGTTTGGCAGAACCAATACCTAATTTTTTGTTGAGTTCGATGAATTGGTTATGATAAATCTGTGTTTCCAGAACACATCTGGTTTTCATTCAACCTCCTTCAAGTTGGGGAAAAGAACCCTCCCCAAAAGTCCAAGAGAGGAGCAAAGGAAACTAAACAGAGACGTGGTGCCTTCGATTACGTCAGCTGCCTGCCTGCCTCTTCCCTTTCACTCCCCTCCTGAGCCGGACTGCCATGCTACAGATGATGGGCCTTATCTGGTCCCCCTCCGCCATTTTTGAGCCAGGGGGGGAGTGACAGCGAAAGGCTCTGCTGCCATGGCACAACAGCCACATCTGTTGCTGGAGGAGCTTTCTTCGGTTCCTGCTGCCTCCTTCTCCTCCAACTCCATGACCTCCCCTGCTGCCTCCTTCCACCAGCCCTGGTATCCCTCTACCAGCCCTCCGTTACCACCACACTTTCTTGCTGCCCTGCATCTCTCCCTTCTCCATTCTGGAAATGGCAACCCCATTTTCTGCTGCTTTCCTCCTAGCAGAAGGGATTGCTGCACAGAGGAAGGAAGGAAGGAAGGAAGGAAGGAAGGAAGGAAGGAAGGAAGGAAGGAAGGAAGGAAGGAAGGAAGGAAGGAAGGAAGGAAGGCTGGCTTAAGGTCACCCAGGGAGGCAAAGGAAGTTAATGTAAGCCGCCTTTCTCCCTTTTTCCCTTTCCTGGCTGGGATGGATGCAACCCACGCAGGCTGCTGCTTCGTGCAAGCGGGTGTGACCCTGTCAACCAAAGCTCCTCAGGGCCACTTGGGAAGTTTTGTTCCTGGGTGGTGGTAGGTGAAACTGACCACCCTGCCCCAGTTTTCACCTCTGCCCCCTCGGGTGGCTTACTCTGCCCTCCCCTTTACTTTTAGTGTTCAGGGAAACCCAGGCCTTTATGTGTTTCTTAAGTTGCTCTTCAGGCAGAGAACCAGTTGTTAAATTATCTGAATCCCACCACTGATGCTATGCCCCATTTATACAGAGAGTTCTGGCAGACATCATGTGAGGTGTGAATCCTATTCAGGACTGTCCAGTGCTGGATGTGGTAGTTCAAAGCCCATCACTTTTTTTGTGGGGTCATTTATATGTCTTCCTATGTCTGGGCATTCAGTGACCCATTTGTCTTTCCATTGGGGATTGATATTAAAGTTGTTGGGCAGATGTTGTGCAAGTGCCAGTGGGGGCTTCCTGGATTTCAGTCTCCCAACTGATGGCAGCCAGACTACTCTGTACAGACTTTCCTGGCTTTCAAAATACATGGAACCCTTTTCCCTTGCAATATATGGTATTTCCTATCATCATTATTGCTAAAAATCTGTGAAACAATTGTTCCTATTTTGAAACAGAAAACACCTAAACCTTACAGTTTACATTCTAAAATAAAGATTTCTTTCTCACCCCAAACTGAAAATCCAATGATTACAATGCAGTCCTTTTAATAAGATTTACTGCTTGCTTGATTTCATGTATGCTCGCTACAATAGAGAACTGCTGGCAGTTTGCAATACAGAATCAATGAGCTCCAGGTACCCTGAAGAAACTATAATGGCAGGTTCTAAAACAATGGCCACACTTATTCTGCTCTAAGGCAGTGATGGCGAACCTTTTAGAGACCGAGTGCCCAAACTGCAACCCAAAAACCACATGCATCGTCAGGTGCCGGGTGGGTGTGGCCCATTGGCTGGGTGTGGCCAATTGGGTGGGTGTGGCCCATTGGGTAGGCATGGTTGCAGTGGTAACAGCAGACTGGGTGGGACTAAAATGCTCAATCAATCAATTCCAACTTTGCAAAATCTTTTTTTTTCCTGCGAGAAGTTAAAATTGACTGATTGAACCTTTTTTTCACATACGGCGGGGGAGGCCTAAAGTGAAAAGGTTTTATAAAACCCAGATGAAGGCCTAGTACTGGGCGAGGGCGAGCATGCCCACAGAGAGCACTCTGAATGCCGCCCCTGGCACTCGTGCCATAGGTTCACCACCACTGCTCTAAGGAATTGATAAAAACCTGATTGAAAGTACATTTTTTTATTTAGACTACAGAAATTCTTGGTTTTGCCAAGTTAATTTTCTTTCCTCTCAGAGGATTGTATTTAGATGATGATGCTCAGTTTTGCAAGCTGAATATTTGCAAAGTCTTTAGTACCATCTCATTTTAATAAAATTTTGAATGTAGAACATCGTCAAGAGGAACCTAAATGGGAAATAATATAAGTCAGGAATATTTATTTACAGTTAATTCTGTGTGCTCTTATATGTGGGGCATCACTGCCATTGGAACATTTGAGATGGGCTATTTATTTTTATTATTATACACATTCAAATGGCATAGAAGACCCATCAAGATAACAACTGAGAACCTATAAAATATAAAAGACGCTTTTCAGAAGATGTTGCTTTAGATATATATACACAGTCTTCTTTTTATTTACTTTTTAGGCTCCCACAAATCATAAATATCAATTATGTTCCAATTTACCAGCATTGCATCTCTAATGAAGAAGACGGGAGTGTTGTTCCCTACAAGATCCCAATTTCCATCTTCAGTGTAGAATTTCATTGCAAAGCCTCTAGGGTCACGCACTGTGTCAGCTGAGCCAGATTCCCCAGCTTAAAAAAAAAAAATTAAAAATTCCCATAATTAAATTCTATGCACACAGTCTAATACCTTGACCAACCTTTTCTATGTATTTACTTACTGTGGAATCTTTAATCCATATGGTTGACATTTAAGAGAGAAAGAGCAGAAATAGAATTGGACAGAAGTAATTTAAAGCTCAGAAGATGGCAGAAGGCTAGGAAGAGATGACTTAAATAAATGGAAAAATTACTTACAAATTATCTTTTAAATTCAAATAATTTAATGTGTTCACTGGCTATATGTAGAAAAAGCACTTATGAAATACTTGTCAAATTTACACCTTGGTTTCATTGCTTTAAATTTATTGGAGATGCCCGGACAGCTTAGAAAATATAATACTAAATTAAAACAATTAAAAACGTGAATAAAACAAGGCAATACAAATTAAAATACAATAATTTCAATCAAACTGTCAAATAATGTTATAAATTATATGTCATTCTTTCAGATACATGCAGACATAAATATCCTTTGGAGAAAGAATATACTTGTATTTTGGGTATTCATAAAACTTGCTCAAAAATACACATGCATTGATCCTTTCCTGCAGTAGCCTATTTAATAACATTCTATTAAAAATTTAGAAAAATATAAAGAATCAACATTTCATATTGAAGGTGTTATTTATTAAACGACATTGCCCAGTATCAATTAAAAACAGCACATAAACATCCACTGAAATAGATTACACACATATATACACAGTGCTTTTTTTCTTTAAAAAAAAAAAAAAAAGTGCCGGAATGCACACAAGTCATACAACCCGCCTTGCCTATTCTATAAGGTTCCATCCAAAAAAGGTGCCAGAACTCCATTCTGGACGTTCTATGAGGAAAAAAAAGCCCTGCATATACATATTCAATGAAACTCCTTTATATATGAAGCAAATAAATAACATGCACTGAAAGTCTACAAGATCCTTACCAACAGTTGAAAATCGAATAGCCATTGGAGTTTTTTTGCCTATGTGCTCAAATATCTTTGCCTTGCAGTATGTGGTGATATCATGAGTCACTTCAAAATAGCCAAATGCTCCTGAAAAATTCAAAGGAGTTACTCTGTTAAAATGAAAAAGATTATTCCAAAGTTTGTAGATTTGGAAAGAATATTAATTATGGTAGAAGAAATATTATCAGGGGTTTACATGTACACATTTTTATGCTTTTTTGGAAATGTTTATTGTTACTATAAATAGCAGCTCTTTTTAATGAAGAATCTCTGATTCAACAAAGGATTCTGCTAACAAAAAGGAAGAAATCAACTTTCACTCATTTTTCCTTCTGTTCCCCTTTTTATACTAATATAAAGCAAATTAAACAATTATTTGATTCTTAGCCATTGCACACAAATGTTTTTACAGACTGAACAATGGTAATTTCTAAATATTTTTACCTGTAGCATATCATTCTTAATTGGATTAGATTTGTACGTAGAAAGGGTGATTACATGCAAAGAAAAAAAGATTCTAAATTAAATATGCTTAGATCAATATGAACCTCTGAATGATAAATACATTTCTGGAACAATAAATGCAAAGAATTTTTCCTCTAGACAATATAATATTTCTCAATTTTCTTTTAAAAATTCTGAGAAAATATTATGAGTAGAATAAATCATGATCTATAAATAATGCAGTATTATAGAACAAAATGAAAAAAAAATAGAAAAAGATCTCTTTCTCCAACATTACTGAAAGTTAATCTGATTCTAATATTTCCTGGTTACTTCTGTTTACAAATCTATGATCCATAAAACAGATTAGTTAATCACAATTTTAATGCTTCAATCTTTTAAAGAAAAAATGTTAAATGTTATTAAATTGTATCAATTAGCAAAATAAGACCAGAAAGATAAATAAAAGTAACACAAAAACATAAGTTTAAACTATCACAAATAGATAGATTATAGATAATTCAAACTCCAATGAAGAAAATCAGTGGCAAAAATAAATATTGCATTGATTATCATTGGTTGCCTCTCAGACTACAATATAAGCGTCACAGAAAGATTCCTGAATAAATTGATTAAAAGCATAAGAGGCACAGACACAATGCAAATTCCAAAACTAACCGGCTCCTTTGGCATGGACAACTCTCTCGGGAATCCTCTCTCGGTCAAAGTGTGCTATCTCATCGGTGAAAACTATATCCTGAACCAGGAGTGGACCTCTTGGACCAACGGTCAGGACATTCAGCTTGTCTCCCACTGGGATTCCTGCTCCTGTGGTTAAGGAATCAGCTTCCTAGGTTCAAAACAAGAATCACAGTTATAACAATAAAAACTTTCACAGCTTTTTTGTGGTAACTTGAAAGCAATCCCAGCTTAATTTGACAGACAAGATCTGTCTGCCTTTCATCTCTAGCTTCAGGAAAATTGGAGACCTTATTTCATAATAATGAAATATGTGGGTCTGGTGTCATTCTTTGTGTTAGGGACTTGTTTGTCAATAAGGGGGTATATGAGTATATGAAATCCCATGCACCGCTTGTCCCACCACATACATCGGACAAACCAACAGAAGAATAAGTGCACGCATTAAAGAACATAAGAACTCAATCAAAAAAGAGGAACCAACCTTTTTCCTGGTCCAACACCTTAAAGCCACAGGACATCAAATTGACTTTAAAAAGACCAGAACTATTGCCAAAACTGAACATTTTAATAACAGAATAATCAGAGAAGCCACTGAGATAGAAAAACGCCCACACAGCATGAATAAACGAGATGATACCTCCCGCCTACCAGCCATTTGGAAACCCGCCCTTATTGACAAACGAGTCCCTGACACAAAGAATGACACCAGACCCACACTCATAAAAACCACACAGGATGTCACCGCCACACATCCATGCAAAAAGCAAACCCAAACCCACACCGATGATGAGGCATGACCACAAACCAGAAACCGGACCACAGCTGCATCATTAGCCACTTTAAACCCCTCCAATCCATACAGGAAGCAAACTGACACCCACCATGAAGATGAGGCACGACCACGAACAGGAAGCCAAACAATAGCAATGCAGCTCATTATCTCAAATACCCCTACAACTCAGACTAACCTGAACACAACAAAGCCCCCACCCAAACAGAACACTCCCCCATCCAATCAGAGCACAGCCAACCCCCCATCAAATCAGAGCACAGCACTGAGTTATGGATTCAATCCATAGCTTGGTTCTGCAAGACCTCTGCAGCCGAGACCCGAGCTATGGATTGAATCAATAGCTCGATACATGTCTGCAAAGGCCTTCCGGAAAGGCCTGACTGCGAAATGCTGGCCAGAATACAGCTGCAGAATGAAGCTGCTCCTTTGGCCGCAGAAGAAGTGGACAGACTGGTCGGGGCTGTCTGTGCCAGAGGTGAGTATAAGAGACATCCTCCCAAAATAACACCTGGTGCCACTTTTGGAAGCAAAAAAAAAAAAAAAGCCCCAGTCTTATTTGGGGGGAAGCACAGTATATGCAGCAACATAATTGAGGTACAGGTGGTTTGCAACTTCAAATCATTCATTTAGCAACTGTTCAAAGTTACAACAGCATTGAAAAAAGTGACTTATGACCATTTTTCACACTTACAGCTGTTGTAGCATCCCCATGGTCACACAATCAAAATTCAAACACCTTGGAACTGGCTCATATTTATGTCAATTGTGGTGCCACAGAGTCAGGAGAAGACGTTTTGCGACCTTCTTATAAGCAAAATCAACGGAGAAGCTAGATTCACTTAACAACCATGTTATTAACTTAATAACTGCAGTGGTTCACTTAACAACTGTGGCAAGAAAAGTCATAAAATCGGGCAAAGCTCACTTAACAACTGTCTCACTTAGGAATGAAAACGTTGGTCTCAATTGTGGTCATAGGTTGAGGACCATTTATCAAGCAATATGTAAACAGAGAATCACTATGGGTTGAATGGATTAATGTATATATTCAGTTGTACATTTCAGGCTGTTTCATCCCCAGCTCTCATTAAGCAAAACAATATTCCCACACATCCAAATGCTTGACAAATCTTCTGACTCTGCTACACATGTAAAAAAGCCATTAAATTATCTTCCTAGGTGATTTCATATTTTATATTTCTGAATATGTCCCCAGAACTTCACTCTTGCCTTAAAGAAAAGACATTGTGGAATTTCAAATGAGAATTCTGCATTTGGTTTCATATCTTTGATCATTCACACCTCCTTGATTATTCATGATGGACTAGGGAGGCATTTAGCAAGTGGTGATTTATCTAGGTATCCATCGAGTGTCAAACAGGATAATGAAATACATCCCACTCCAAGGGAAAGATAAGAAACAGGATCATGTTAATGAAATCCTATAGGAATTACTAACAAACTGTGACCTACTTTTTCATCTCAAGGAATTATTCAGAAATTTATTCAGTTCAGAAAGAATATGGATAAAGTATCCTGGGTAACTTTAAGTAAGAAACTAAAGTAGTATACTTTTTAATGGAGGCCAGACAGATACCAGTTTAAGTGATACTTTATTTTTATTTAGTAACAGAAATTTGAAGATTTGTTGATATTAATAAAATAACTATGCGCAACAAGATTCTGTGATGATATATCCCAATTCTCCTATATTGCAGCAGTGTGAAAATTAAAGTGTGTCAAGTCAAATGTACAAGAGAATAGCACTAGCACTAGCACAACTTGTATACTGCTTCACAGTGCTTCACAGCCCTCTCTAAGTGGTTTACGGAGTCAGCCTATTGCCCCCAACATTCTAGGTCCTTTTACTGACCTCAGAAGGATGAAAGACTGAGTCAATCACTACGGTATGTATTAATCCATAAATCTAATTGCATGCTTCAGGGACATTTCATCATGAGACCTCATAAAACAGAAAATATTCCCACACTTCCAAAACTCTTGATAAATCTGTTTTGTTTTTGTTTGTTTACTGGTATGCTGCATGGATAGGAAAGCCATTAAATCACCTTCCAAGGTGGCCTCAGGGCCCCACACAATGCCAAAAATATTTAAGACCTATTATGAAATTGTAATTTTTAAATATGAAAATTAGGGAAATTAACCATAGCATATACAGTAAATGACTAGAGAGTAATCAAATCAACTACTTTCAAATTTAATTAAGTTTAAAAATATTAATGTAGCAGGAGTGATTTGATTTATTATGTGCTTATTAGCAAAGGCAGTACCCTTCTAGAATAAAGCAAGAAATCTAACCAAATCAGTTTTGTCCAGACCCTGTTTACTAAATTTGTATTAATGCATTTATCTAATTCTGGGTTTCAGAGCAAAGAGCAATTTCATTTCTGGACTGTACAAAACAGGAATATTCCCACATTGCAAAGTGCTTGATAAATGTTTTATTTTTCACGTCTCTCCTACAAGCATCTGCAGTGAAATCATTATCCTGGAAAACACATAATTGTTATCATATGAGTAACCACAAAACAAAAAAAAGGCAGTAAAATAATAGACATTATTCTTTGCCTTGGCTATTTATTATATTAATGAAGTGCTAAAATCTTGACATTGGGTTTCTTAGTTGCTTTTGTTCACTTATATAAAGCTGTAACAAAGTAATTAGAGAGGAGCCTAAGGATAAAGGATGTCTGTATATTAGTTTATTAAGCCAAGATTTGATTTGGGAACAGGGCCAACATATTTAATTCAATGACTTGTGTTGTGTCCTGAGCCTGCAAAAGCAGGCTCGGGAAATTGCAATGGTCCCGGGCATTCCAGAAGCTGCCCGGGACCAGACTGAGAGGCGCCAGCCTTGCGCGCATGCGCAGGGCGTGAAAGCACTCCGCTTTTTGTTGCCATTGTGTCCGGGGCTCTGGGCAGATAAAGAGAGGCCCGCGTGCCTTGCTCGTTGTTGTGGTGTTGTTGTTAAATGAATAAAGAGCTGTTAACTGCACTATGAGTCTTCATCATTCACCCAAGATCAAAAGACTTAATAACTTGCAAAATAACTTTGGGATGGTATAAGATAAACTATAATGATGTTTTTAATTATATCAACCCACATGATAATATTTTTAACACACCCATTTAAGTTACCAGTATTTTTAAAATGTTTCTAAAAGGTCTATGCTACAGGCAACCAGTCACTTCTTGAATATTAACTTCTTATTTTACCTTGTTTGTAATTTTTTTATCTATATAATTTACAAGCTCTTTCTCATGCAATGGAATCTCATAATTAAATTAAATAGGATTGAATAGGGGTTAGAAATCTTAATGTGTATTTATACTGCAGAGAAATAGCCCAGTGAGAGTGGATTTAATTTACATGCAATCACTTTGTTATTTTACTGGCAAATAAAAAATTCAGTGCAATTTTCAATTTAAATTGGCTTTTCCATTTAAAATTGTACTCTTTAATTACAGTAACAAAAACATACTGCTTTAAAGCTAAATATAACAATCATATCAGGACTTTGAAGTCCACCAAAAGCTCTTAGTGGACACTCTGGGTGCTAATTTTTTTTAATAAAATCAAAGGGATTAATTACAAAACCTATCTCCCATTGCTCATTCCATACACATGCCAAAATACTAAACAGTTCTGCAATATTCATTCTATTAATCAAGTTTAATATTTGATTAATATTAACTCAAGTTTCATATTAAATCAAGTCTCATATTTCCAAAAGCCTTTTATACTTATTTTTCATTAATGACATTAATGCTACTCGGAAAAATCAGTAATCAGGATGCCACTATGAGCATAACCAGTAACAAAACAAAACATCCATATTGGTAGTCCTTGCTTAACAATGGTAACTGGGACCGAAATTTCTGATGCTAAGCAATGTAGTCATTAAGCATGGAATCATATGACAGTTAGTGATGGAAACCCTGGCAATTTCCATTGCTGTTGTTATGCAAGGGACACAGCTTGTTAAGCAAGGATATCCTCGTAAATTCCTACTGGCCTCCAACAAGCAAAGTCAATGGCAAAGATGGCAGGAAATTGCAAGCAGGCCAATGGACAGGTAAATGGCTGCCACGGAGTGGGAGCTGGGATTGTTTGCTACCAGCTGAGAGAGAGTGTGCATGTGTCCAGCACAGCATGAGCATGGCAGGGCTAGGAGTGAATGCTGCTGGGTGTGGGATGGTATGTAGGTGGCTGGTGTGGCTGGGCTGGGAGTGGCTGCTGCCAGGTGCAGCAGAAGAGTGTGAGAGGTGCTACAATGCAACTGCAAAAGCATGGCCAGGCCAGATGCTGCAAGTGCATAAGCAACTTACAGAAG